CCTTTAGGGCAGACGGTTGTGTGTGCGCACTCGACGCTTGACCACACAAACGTGGCCAACCTTGCACTCATTTTAACCCTTGTGTGTGCGCACTTGGCGCCTGACCACAAACGTGGCCAACCTTGCACTCATTTTAACCCTACCGTCTTCCACCGAACGCAACGCACCCTCATGATGACTGCATCAGACTGGAAAGATAGCGTCGATACACTTATTATCAGGGTGCATTGTGTTCGGGGCAACACGGTAGCTGGATATGGATGGATTTTTGGGGGTTAATGTCTGGTGGTTCCATAAGGGCACGCACCCGCAAGTGGACAACGTTGCGCTAATCTCACTGTTCTGTGGATTTTGGGAGGGTTTAGGTTTGATGTCTGGCAATTAGTACTCTGTGATGTACGAACACACATGTCAACTTATGATTCGTACCTCACTGCATCGTCTTCTCACTGAAGCTGCTTCAGGTAATTGGTGTTGTGTCAAGGCTGATATTGAGCAAGCAGCACCAGCATGGCAGGTACGGCTTTTGCAATGGCTCTACAATAATGTCTCCAATGCAGACATGACAACAGACATTCGAGAACTCCAATGCCTCATCCGAAAATTGCAGCATACCCGCCAATGTTACACAACACAACCTCGTGACCCATCTACTGACCATATCAAGGTCGTACATGCGCATGAGGTAGCTCGTGCTACAAACTTGCGCCATGTGTTACAATTGCCAGATGTAGTTGCATTGCACCCCGATCCTCAAGCAGCCACACATGTGCGTGCATGTGACAAATTGATGCCACCCACGCGTGTCCAGTTTTGTAACTTCACTGATGTGGCCTCGAGTGTTACTCCTGGCATGACCTTACCCGACTCCTCTGATTGCGAATGCCGCAAAGCCTTTCCACATTGTTCTGATCTTGTGGATGGCCATATTGTGTCTGTTGACTACAATATCATCTCTGATGATAGCCTTCGCAAGCTTTTTGAAGAAGGCTCGAAGTATCGGCTGAATGGGGAAACTGCCGATGTGCTCCATGCACTGGCATTTGGACTAGACGACTACAGTGCCAATTACGAAAGGTTGTTGGCCGAACATTCTCGATCTGCTTCTTTCCCGTCTCTTTCTCAGAAGTTGACCAGCTGGCCTTCAGCAATCCTTGCGCATTGTCAATCCAATGCATCTTCGTTCTCCAATCATGTGAGCCAGCCACGTTCACTACGTTCTACACATGCCTCCTTGCACCATCTTCAATAACACTTTGCCATTGTCCCTCTGGACAAAACATCACACAATTTGGCAATTTGCTGCAAGAATTGGTATATGTTTCATCTCTCTACCCATTTGGACAGTCCCACTTAGTCCGTTGCTAATGTCCTTGACCACCATGCAGTGTGGAATCACCATTGGGGTTACACCCACACTGATACCCTACCTTACCTTTACTATGTACTCAAAGCTCACAAGTCTCCTCCAGCTCTTCGCAGCATTCTTGGAGTCAACACAAAATAACAGTGCTGTTCCTCTGCGTGCTCGCCCTCGTCCAACAATTTGCACCATTCATAAACGGCCTCCTCACAAACCCTTGGCTAGCGCAACGACTACTTCGTCGTATCTCAGTGTTGCTTTGCAAGGAGTGATCTCTACTCTTCGCGAGAAAGACACTGAGCTCTATCAACAGGTTGGTGTTCGACGGTGCTGGATCGTTCAGAGTGCAGATGAAGTGGCGATTGCCCTAAAAAACAATACATCATCTCTTCGTGGCCTCTCTCCTCGCACTGTTGATTTTACCACAGTGTACACCAACCTTCCTCATGACCGCATTCTGAATAATGTGGCAAAAGTTGTTGATGAAGCTCATGCTTATGCCCTTTGGCAAACTCGCACGCATTCACGCTGCGTTGCCCTCAACATGGTTATTCGAGGACCTAATTGTGGTCAATGGACAACTGATTCAGGCCTGGATACCCTTTATGTTTCTCAGATTCTCCAACATCTTTGCTTTGTTGTACAAAACACTTTTCTATACACGAGAGATGGCACGCTTCGGAAACAAATTATCGGTATTCCAATGGGAGCGAATGCTGCCCCATAAATTTCTAATATGACGCTGTATTGGGATGAAGCACGCTTTGTTGATGACATTCGTCAACATGATCTTCAAGCTGCTCAACAATATACCTTCACCTATCGCCTCATTGATGATGTTCTTTCATGGGGACAATTACCTCCTCCACCAGAACACTATGGGCTTGAGTGGAAGGAGAGTACAACTACAGATGGCTCCTGTACCTTTTTAGGTATGCATCTACGTGTCCGTTCCAATGACTCGCTTCACATGAGCGTCTTTTATAAAGCGGCTTCTTGGGACTTCCTGTCATTCGTTATCCAAGTGCGACCTCCAACATCCCTTCCCATCAACCGGCTGGTGTGTTCACTGGGCAATTGACCAGATTTGAACAAATCTGTAACAATTGGCAGGACTTTCGAACTGCGGCAACAACACTTACTCGTCGTATGCTTTCGTGTGGGCATTCCTTACCAACCCTTGCTAAGGGGTGGACTTGCTACATGCGATCCCGCCAACGTCACTATCCTACACGTGTGACGCGTCTCTCTCAGTGGTTCCGACGCATGTTGTGATGGTCCTTGTATCATCCAATTTCTTCTTCGCCCCCACGATGCTCTCGTCCTGCCCCTGCTTACTCATCTGTTGCTACCGCAGTTTCCATTGTTGCAGTCTCCACTCCTACAGTTTCCACTGCTGGAGTCTCCACTCCTGCAGTTTTCACTGCTGCAGTGTCCACTGTTGCGGTTTCCACTGCTGCAGTTTCGACTGCTGCAGTTTCCACTGTTCCAGTTTCCACTGCTGCGGTATCCACTGTTGCGGTTTCCACTGCTGCAGTTTTCAGTACAACAGTTTCCCTAACTGTAATTCCCCCTACTTTAGTTTTTACTGCTACAGCTTCCTGTCCTGCAGCTCCAATGCAAAGAACATCACAATCTCTCCGACGCTCACGTCCTTTGCTCCGAAATCTTGCCCAGTGCACCTCCCTCTCATCTTTGTCTGTGCTTGGCCGTAGACGGCTGCGTTCCTCCTCACCACCCCCATCTCCTCCACAGTCTCGCTTGCAAACAGACTCTCCAGTTTCCATTGTTCCCATTGTTCCACCTGCATCGCAAGGTACAAGTTCCACTTCTGTTTGCAACACCAGTACTCTTCTTGTTGTGTATCACCGATGACATCCACGACATCGTCACTTGTCCAGGGATGCCCCGATTCTCTCTTAGCCTCCTCCACAGGTTGTTGCGGTTCCTTTGTTTCAAACGGCAATATCCGCTCCTATGCCACCCGTTGTGGCAATTGTTGCACTGAGAATGCTCGGCTAGGTCTTCCATGTGTTCATCCACGTCATTCTTACAATGTATGTCCTCTCTGTCGTCAAGGATAGACTCATTCTTGAGCCTTTTCTTATCCTCTTTTGCCTTCATCTTCACTCCACACTCCATACTTTCCCTTACTTTCCCTTTATCGTTCGTTGTTTGTCTGCTCTCCATCTCTCCTCCCTGTGTTTATCCCCTCCCCCTTCACTCTGCCTCTTTCTCACAGCGTACAAGTGGGCTGTTATGGCACACGGGGATGGGGCCAGCTCGCGCTCAACTTCGTCAACATGGTGAGCCTTGTACGTGAGAGGCATGGTGAAAGGGGAGTCAAAAGAAGAATGAGTAAAATGAATGGTTTCACTGTGCCCTTCTTGTTTTTTTTATTTTTTATTTTTGCCGTTTGTTTCGCAAATTGCGCTCTTTTAGTTCATAGTTATGTGACAATATATTATATAGTGAACATGACAAATCATACTCGTCACTTGCTGAGTGGATGTGTAGAGGGGGTTTATCTTTGCGAAGGACCAGTTTCTTGGGCTTGCTGACGTTGTCGTCAGGAGTCTGAACTGGAAAGCCAGCGTGCTAGGATTAGAAGGTTAGTGTGAATAAAATGGAGCACTTTTCTCGATCATGGATATCACTAACTTGGGGCAACGAGGCCAGTCCTTATTTTCGGTCAACTGCATTTTTTACTGGACAGACTGTCGATCTTCAACCTCCCGATGAGTTGTGTGAAACTTTGGTGAAACAGTCTGCCACAGTTACCCTAATGATGTAGAGTTGCATTTAGCGAATATACAACACACACACAGAAAGAGTGTGTGTGTGTGTGTGTGTGTGTGTGTGTGTGTGAGAGAGAGAGAGAGAGAGAGAGAGAGAGAG